ATTAGAAGGAAATAAATAAGGGTACGCACAGTACGCCGGTATCACGTACTGACGCTTCGATGCCACTAATGACTACTCGTCAGCACCTACGCAAATTGAAACCGGTGAGTCATGGGTCACAAATAGATGTATTACCCCTTCAGCCATCAGCCAGTTCACACCCAAGTAATCATGAAGGTATTTATAAGGCGCGTTCTATGCCCATTAAAAATTGTTTCACACCACTCGACATGCCTCAGAACCGATTCGGATGAGGGGCGATAAAAGGAAGTGGGCCAATAAGTGATGCGGGCACATGATGTGCTTTCCAGGAAGACAAAAATATTGCGGACTAAAAGTAGGAGGCATGCAAATGCAAGCACAAAAAGGAAAGGAACAAAATGAGATTCCCACGGTCGTTCTAACCCGAACATGTCGTTGATCTACGTTAGAATGCGGTGGTATGGTTGGCCAGTTGTAAGAGCTGAATATCAGCGCGCTGTGGTCAACCAAACAAAACCCACACGATCTGCACCACCGGTCCTCACTGGGCCGGCCACGTGTAACAAGAAAAGGAAGAGTAAAATTGTAGTATAGTCATGAAATGGGAAAATAATACAAAAGTTGGAAAGGAATTTAGTATGAGTAAGTAAGAAGTAAAGGAACTGAAGAGTAATTATAAGAATTAAGAACAGAAAGGGTGAGATTCGGAGCTGCAAGTTGAGGACGTCAAGGCGGCGTTTAAACTATCACCGCGGGTGACAATACGACGTTCTCGATCAGCGCGTTAGGGGAATCTATCACGTGGAAAACAAGTTTCAACCAGGTTAGAGCGGAATTCGGGCGACTTCAAGGGATGAGTACGAAGAGTAAATATGTAGGATGGAAAGGCCAGGGTAGGTCTGAGCCAATCCGCCTTGTTAAAGGACGATAAGAAGTAAATCGTCACGAAAATGGCGATAGTGCAGCAAAACACCCTTACTTTGAGGTATTTGTCAGGGTAAGATAAATGCCGCAATCCTCAGGTTATTTTTTGTACCAATCCTCAAGACCCGCTCTATCGCCATCCTGTCCCGAGTCAGGCAAGAAGGACAAGTCTGGCAAAGGAAGTAAATAATTTAATAGACAATTCGTAAGTCAGGATCCAAAGCCGATTGGTTCCAGTTCTCGCTGAATACGAAGTCCGGAGATAAGGTGTCACTTAAGGCAACTTGTCCAGACACAGATAATTCCTTCCCGCTAAACATGCAGTGCGGCATCCGGACATTTGATCTTGCGTACAAAACTAAACACTTGGTGTGATTCAATGGCAGCTGCAACAGAATGTACCAATCGAAGAATCCGTCAAGAGTTTGTTGCAAAGCTTGGGAGCCACCACAGTTACTCACCGAGCAACAGAACCTCAAGTCATCCACGAACATAAGAGTAGGCGATCCCAGCCAACTGACAAAGCCATCTGTTCTGAATGCGTATCGAAGTACGCTGAGATGCGAGTTGAGTAATCGCTCACTGGAGACAATTGATGGTCACTGGTCACATGTTCAGCAGACCTTACTAGCAGCAGGCAAATCCTCATGTGGTATGTCTAATAGCCAACATGGACATTGGGTCTCTTCTCGGTCTCTGGAACTTATCGACGCTCGCCAGCATATCCCGACTGGAAGTGAACAATGAAACTCGCAAAGAGCTCCGGGCAAAACTCCGTGCTAGCCTGAAGAGAGACCGCGAATCTTGGTGGTCTGTTCGTGCGTCAGAGATGGAAGTGGCCGCTGCCCTTGGCAACCATCGTAAGTTATTTCATCTGATACGGGAAACGGGCAGCAGGAGACCTGGTGTTAGTGAAACAAATTGTGATGAGAATGGACAGCCTATCCACAATTTGTCAAAAAGTTTGGAGCGTTGGGCTGAGCATTTGGAAAAGCAATTTAATCGGATAGAATTGTTCGATTCGTCGGTCACTGATCGCCCTGCTCCGTGGGCTGTCCCTTTGGATCCACCCTCTTGCTCAGAAGTCGAACGTGAGATCGGACTGTTGAAGTTGAACAAAGCCGCGGGACCAGATGATCTTCCTCCAGCTCTCTTCAAATTCGGAGGCTCTGCTCTTGTTAATGCTTTACATGAATTACTAGTGAAACTGTGGGAGCAGGAGATTGTCCCAACCGCTCCGTTATTGTTCCCATCTTCAAAGGCGGCTCGCGCTCGGAATGCGGCAACCATAGAGGAATCAGTCTGATCTCCATCGCCTCCAAATTACTCGCCTCCATAATTCTTCACAGACTGACTGGCGCTCGTGAAAGCCAGATTCGTGAGGAGCAAGCCGGGTTTCGTCGAGGTCGTGGCTGCATCGACCACAGCTTCACCTTGCGTCAGTTGTTGGAGCACCGTCACACATATTGGCGGCCCACCGTTGTCGTGTTCCTCGACATCAAAGGTGCCTTCGATTCGGTTGATCGATGTGCCCTTTGGAATTGTCTACTCAGGAAAGGTGTGCCCGAGAAATATGTAAATATTATCCAAGCATTATATGCGCGTAGCACGGGCAGAGTGAGGGCCTACGGCAAGCTGTCGCCACCCTTCAATATCTCCAGCGGTGAGACAAGGATGCCCGCTGTCACCTTTCCTATTCAACTTCGCTATTGACGAAGTCATGGAGATTGCATTTACAGGACATGACTTGGAAGGTGTGGAGCTACTCCCAGAAGAACGACTTCTTGACTTGGAGTATGCAGACGACATTAACCTCATCTGTGACAGCTCCTAGACGTGCCAAGCCGCGCTGGACAGATTAGCCCTGGCTGTCAGCCGCTTCAGGCTTTGCTTTGCCCTATCGAAATACAAAGCGTTCCTCCAAGATTGACAGGGATCTCCTCCTGCGCTGACCCTTGGTGTGGATCAGCTAGAAGTCGTTCAGAAATTCAATTACCTGGGAAGTTGTATCAGCGCCCTTGGGATCGAAGACGAGATCACGAACCGTATAGCGAAAGTTCGAAGTGCTTTTGCTAACCTTCGCCACCTATGGCGGCGGCGCGACATTACTCTCGCCTTGAAGGGTAGAGTGTACCATGCAGCGGTACGTTCGACCTTACTGTACGGTTGCGAAACCTGGCCCCTAAGATCGGCGGAGATAAAGAGGCTAGTTACGTTCGACCATCGGTGCCTTCGCAGTTTGGCTCACATCTGGTAGGAATACCGCGTGAGTAACGAGCGTGTTCGACGCCTTGTTTACGGCCCAGAAAAAGGGAATGAACCGCTCAGCACCGTTATTTCTCGCACCACGTGGGCCACGTGTTGCGCATGCCAGCCCACCGACTCCCTCGATGTGCGTTGCTTGCTCACCGGGGATGTGGGTGGAAGAAGAGGAGAGGTGGCCAAGCGATGACTTGGTCCAGGGGAATGAAGTCCCTCACTGCGGAGCCAGCCTCGGTTGGAGCTTCACGGCTCCCTGGTTGGGGTCCAAAAGACGGTGAACACGTTTGGCTGGATACACTTGCTGACATGGCAAGAAGCCGACCTCAGTGGCGTTCCTGCTGTGAGTTTCTTTGTCTCTCCCGATCCCTTTTAGCCTTCCCCTCCATCTACGATCTCATTTCGTAGGGTAAAACAATAATTTTTTCTTTCTTTTTGCCTAGTAGCTGGCTGGTAGCTTACCGGAACGATGCCTATCCGTTGCTGGTAGCTCAGCTGGCATGCAACTGTCTTATTTATTTTTCCTTTATGTATTGTATGTATGTATGTATTTCCTTTATGTATTGCGGTACAATAGCGGAGATGTTTCACCACCTCTAGCTGATATGTATAATGAGACTGAGACTGTATTTAAGAACAAGTAGACATGTTTCTGTACAACTCTATCGAATTACGAAAAATCAAAATTAACTTGTGAATTATCAGCAGTTGTGTCTGGTCCGTTAATCGTTTATCCGTGTTCGGTTAGAAATTTGTACTGGACATACAATGTCTTCTTTTGGCACTGTATGTGCATCGTTTCACAAAAGCACAGGTTTCCAAAATAATCGTCGATCCGGGTTTTAAAACACTTCACAGAATCAGCCTCTATTAATCCTTCAGGTGGTGTATTCCATAAGTTTACGATTCTTCGTTCGATACAAAGCTGATGTGATACTTTGTTCATGCTGGGGACCCTGAGTTGGTAACGATGTCCTCGGGTGTTACATGGTTCTCGCACGTGAAATATTGATGATGATGCGGCAGACAGTAGCTGATCAAGGACTGATTTCTGTGGGACGTTGTTCAGAACAGCCTGCAGGAAAGAAAGGCTAAAGCCTACTCGAACATACGGTTCTCCCTCTAAGGGAAATGCTAAGGTCCACAGAAGCGCGTGTTCAGACACTACGGGAACGCTGTTTAAAGGAAAGACAAGAATGTGGAACTGGGTTAAACACTTTGGAGAAGTCAACACGTCCACTGGTTGACAGACTTCGTCCAGCTTCCTCGAGCAGCAAGCAGGTTGGTCAGACAGAATTACCGTTTGCGAAAACCATGCTGAAATAGGCTGAGGTCAAGTGCCTTAAGTGGTTTTGAGGGCAGCCTTTAACAGCTTTGCTAGCAATTCAAACACGTTAGCTAGAGTAACGTGTCTATCACACTTTTTAAAGATGCGGCGAACAACATCTAGTAGGCAATAGGCAAAACGCAACTAGCAGGAGACTTTTCTAAATAGCGCCTAATGACCTCATAAACTTCTGTCAGTTCATATAGCAACTTGGGATCAATGGCATTGACACTAGAGGCTTTGGTTGGATTCAGCTCCAGCAGCAGCGAAAGCACTTGGGGTTCTGTTACGGAGATATCAGTCCATACGTACTATGTGATAGCAACAAAATACGGCTAGTAAAGTCCAAGAATCTGAAATAATAAAAGGGTGGTCTCAAAACAAGTAGAAATATCGCATAATGAAACGGCTATAGTGTTAGCGGCAGAAAGATTCGTTCGAGAGTAGACTCAGAGTAAAATTAAACCTGGAGGTAAATTTCTACTATAAACCGAACTAAATAACTCACCGCCTTGACATTGTAACCAGCCTTGGCACTTGTCTCGATGAACATTACATTTAAATCCTTAGCGCGGCGCTCTCCCTCCTCTGTTGATACTTTCCTGAAAGGATCAGCATAAAACAGTTTACAGGTACCTTTTATCAGATAAATCGGTCTTGTTCCCAACTAACATGATGATAACATCGCTACCTCGCTCGTTTCTGACATCATCTATCCACTTCGTAGTTTGTTGGAAAGATTCGGTAACTGAAGCTAGTGACTGAGCATGAAATGCGTACCACATATATCATACACAACGACAGCCACCGATGAATCTCTAATGTAGCTGGGTATAAGACTGCGAAATCTTTCCTGCCCAGCTGTATCCCAAAGCTGTAATCGTATCTGAAGAGAGCAATCCGACTACAGATAGAAGAAATACCGTTCGGTCCTCAAGATACATAGTTTTTGACAAGAAATCAATTCCTATGGTGGCCTGAAGGAGAACATGTGGATGACTTCACCAACCTGATAAACACTGTCAAACGTCTCATACATAAACCGCGTAATCAGTGATGTTTTCCCAACTGAGGAAAATCGTAGTAACGAAGGACACGTACCACTCTGCTCTCCGAGAAACACAAGTTTAAACTTTCTGAGGGGATTATTCAGATCAGTAACGGAGGTCATCGTAGGATGACGAGTAGAATAAGGAATTGAACGGAAACAAAAACACTGAATAAAGGGGTTAAATTTGGCTGCGATTAGCCCACCTATCGGTGCAAATTCACTCGCAATTTAAATTACGAAATAAAGCATCCAATGGAGGAAAGACGTATTAAACGTATGTAGGTACGTGGTTTTGCACGAACAAATGTTTTGTATGTATAGTTTGTGTTAATTGCTATGCAGAAAGTTTTTAGTAATAAATTGTAGTGCATATTAAACCGATGCATGGTTTGGCGGCGTCCGTATCCGGATTTGCCTGTCACTGTGACGTCCACAGGGACAGTCACAAGACGCCTGCGCCTACAAAGGGGACCATGGGTTGCTTGCGCTGCACCACCCATAGTTCCAGCCACACACCCATATCCGGTGTAAACCCGAAGGAATAGGACCGGGTGGCATGCGGATGGGAGCCATGTTTCATCAACGGAGCCGACCCTCACTGCTTCAACAAGCAGAACGGAAGCATTCCGGCCCATTTGGGAAATCATACACACCAGACGTACACGAGGCGGTGGCCGGACCGTAGCCCGTTCCACAAAGGATGGAACCACTCTTTGAACCTGGCACCGTCACGAGGATGGTGCACTCCGTCCCGTCCAGCAACGACCAACTGTCTTCTGGAGCCAGTATGGACGAGGTAGTGGGTAATAGACAGGTAGGCACCTTGTCAACATTCACATCAGGCGCATCCACACCGGGGAGTTCAAGCAACATCTACTTCTGAAATGCAATATTTCTCATCACGTAGACAAACGCAACACATACGCCGCCTTATTGGCTTGGAGTAGTAAAATAAATGGGGACCTACTCATGGTGCTTCTATTGCGCATACAAGAGTGCATTCTCCAGCACCTGAGAAACCGCCCTTTTGAGCAGTCCACGGAATTCGCATCGACCAAATTTGCCTTGGATTCGCAACACCTGAAATCAAAATGAGTTTGTCATAAACTCACCTTCTTCATGTTCTGATAATGTTATTTTCAGTTTCCTCGAAGGTCGTTTTACTGCACTAAGTTAACCGTACAAAAGCGGTATGAACATCCTCGTGGAGTTCATTCGGTATACATATATACATAGATTGGCGTCATCTGTGTTCAATGACAGTTCGAATACAACAAACGTGCATGCGTATATCCAAAATTAAGTGTTAGCTGTCACAAACTGGATAGAGACAAATTAGACATCATCATTATCAATGGTACGACAAACGTGTATGGTTTTCGTTTGGAGGTCAGGCTAACAATCACTTTCGCAGGCATGATAATAACTACCCAATACGAACTGTTGATGTTTTCTTCAACATTTAGACGTGACAGCCTTAAATATTGGGCATCCATATTTGAGGGAACCCGATGTAGCAATAGTGAA